GGCGCCGGCGGCGGGCCAGGAAAAGGCGGTGCTTGAGTCGGCTGCGCGCTTCAGCCAGGCTGCGGCGGAGCTGCAGCTGATGGGCGTGTGGCGCCCCTCCAAGCGGCGGCGCGTAGCTGCGGTGGTGCGTTCGTTCGTGCCCATGCTGGTGGCGGGGCCGCTCGAGGGATTGGGGGCGGTGTATGAGGACGACGACGACGAGTGACCAAGTGATCTGATCTTGATGGGCTGGGGTTTTGGCTTTTGAGGCGTGGCGGGTCGATGTGCGAGCCTCTGCCGCAACAGCTGGTGGCAAGCCGGTGCGTCTTAGATGTTTACGCAGGGCCCTGTGGCCTTGCGAGCCTAAGGCCCAGCACGCAGCGCTTGAAAACTTCTCGTGAGCAGCTTTCAAAGGACTGACTGGATGCCCCACAGACGGCATGACCTATCCGCAGTATAAATATGGTACTGCGCTTTTTCTTTTTCACTCGATACCGTAAATCAAGGCGGCCGGAGGGGCAGACGCGGGGTCAGCCGCGGGTGCGTGGATGTCAGAGTATCTGTCGTGTATCGTTTGCTTGGTTTCACTTCATCCTTGGTTTGCATGTAAAAGCAGAATTTCTAGGCCGAAAGTCACCATCCATCGCCGCCTGGGCCTCGGCCTGATATCTGCACCCTGCGGCGGGATGCTCGCGGTAGACTAGACGCAGAAGATAGAGGAATAGAAATGGTTCAATTCACTCTAGACACTGATAGACAATGGCAGCCAGGCGAGGGTCCTTGGGCTGCTGATGGCGAGGGCTGGGGGAGCCGCGGCCCCAGCTCGAGCTACGCTTCATCAGGTAGGCAATAGCGATGTTCAACTGTGCTAAATTTCCTTCTGACCGGCATACAGCGCTCGCGGCGCACCTTGGGGCCCTTGCGGCATCGGCTCGCTTTACGAACGCCTCCGTCCGCCTCGCAGAGACCGGCTTTTCGGTGGACGTCGATCCAGGGGAGCCCAGAATCGCTCCTCTCAACTTTGGAGACGGTCAAGGATCAGCTGCGCGCGCGATGGAGGAGGATGCGGCTGGCCTCCAGGGCGCGACGACCCACTTCATCAGCTGCACAGGCGGCACCCCACGCAGCAGCGGCCGCGGCAGCCTGATCAGCAATGCTAGCAGCGGCTCGGACGGCCCCGAGGACGGCGTGCAGCGCACTGGTTACACCTGCACCACCTCCGACGGCGTGCGCCTGCACCTCGTCCGGGGGTTCTGCGCAGCGGCGGCGGCGGCGCGGCCGCGCGGGCACCCAGTGATGCTGGTGCCCGGCCTCGCGTCGAGCGCTGAGGCCACCTTTGACGTGGTGCCGCGGCTGTCGCTGTTTGGGCACCTTGCGCGGCAGGGGTACGACGTGTGGCTCGTCGACCTGAGAGGTGGGTCAGAATTATATGCAGAAAGCCGTGGCAGGAGCGGGCGGGGCTGGGGAGGGGGTTTGTAGGGGTTTCGGCGCCCGCTGGCACGTGTTTCCACCCCTTGGCAGCTTGCATATGAGAGGGGTTGCTGGGGGGAAGTTGTGCATTGCTGGCCCCCATGTGAGGGGTCGAGCGGGCTCCGAATTATACCCCACGGCTGCTGGCTTCAGGCCTTATGGGCACGGCGCAAGGAGGGACCAGCGACTGGGACGATGGGCCCTACGGGCCAGACAGCTCAGGCTGGGTAAAAACAGCCAGACGGTCAATTACTTGTCAGCGGCCACACCCGGCCATTGGGCGGGCAGCACCACACCGCCTCAGCCCCCAGGATCCTTTCTCGGCTCGCCACCCTCGCCGCGCCCAGCCCCACCCCGCCTTTTCCCACCACACCCGCGGCCCGCGCGCCCCCACGCGCCCTCCTCCCCAGGCAACGGCAAGAGCGGCGCGCCCGACGTGCGGCCGCTGAGTGAGGGGTGGTGCGTAGACGACCACCTGTTCCGGGACATGCCGTCCGCGGTGGAGCTCATCCTGCGAGAGACTGGCGCAGAGCAGCTCCACTGGATTGGTGCGCAGGGGGAGGGGGAGGGGCAAGGGGAGGGGGCAGGAAATTGCAGGGCGTTGATCATTGGTGCGCAGGAAAGGGGGACGGACAAGGGGAGCGGGGAAAACTGAAGGGTTTTTCCCAGTTCAAGGGAGGGACGGCCCCCAAGGACGTTGAGGGGGGACGCAATGGTGTGTGGGGAGCGGCTGGCGAACAAATTTCAGGGCCTTCGATCGATGGGGGCTCGCCGTTGGCGGAGGGACAGGGAGCCGCGTCCGTGCCCCAGCTTGGGTGAAGCCAAGGCTGGGTAGGGCGACGCAGCAGAGCACGGGAGGCGCCTCCTTGAATGGGTGGCTCGTGTCGCTTTCTGCGTCCATGCACCAACGCGTTTGCGTCCACCACGTATGTCAAACTTTGTCAAACCCCACCTCCCGCCTTCCGCCCCCCCGCCGTTGCTCTCCCAACCCCAGGCCACTCGATGGGCGGCATGCTGGCTACGGGCGCCCTCTCCATGCAGGGGCCCCTGGCCCAGACCGTCCGCAGCGTGGTCATGCTGGGCAGCGGCTGCTACGGCGCGGGCTCCTGGTACTCCCTGCTCAAGCCGCTGGTGCTGGGCCTCTGCTGCTTTGGTTTCCCCGGGGGCGTGGCCGGCGCGACCATCGGGAAGCTGGCGGGAACCTGGGCGAGCCTGGCGGTGATGGAGGCGGTGTTCTACTGGCGGAGCAACACGGAGGTTTGTATATGGGGGGATGGGCCTTGGGGGCAGCTCTGCAAGTTAGCTTGAAGCTGGGGGTTTGGCAGGTTATAACGGGCACAACCCTGTTCGTCATAAAACTCGGAAAGTCAAACTTGCCACGACAAGGCGAATCGCCTTTTGCTGCAGCCAGCCTGCCGCCTCAACCTCAGAACACACAACCCGAGCTGAGCACGGCCCGCGCCCCGCTCCGCCGGCCCCGTGCGTGCCGCGCCGCTCCCCAGGTCGACGTGGCGCGGCGGCTGATGAGCACCGCGTTCCGCTTCATACCCCGCGGCCTGGTGTACCAGTTCCTGGCCAGCATTGCGACCGACGGCGGCCTGACCACGGCTGACGGGCGCATGCAGTACTGCGACCCCAAGGTCCTCCGCCACGTCACCACGCCGGTCCTCGGCGTCACCGGCGACTGGGACCTGTTCTGCCCGCCGGCGGGTGGCCTGAAGACGGTGCAGCAGTTTGGCGGCGACGCGCGGCGGTTCATATTCGTCGGGCCCGGCTACGGTGCGCGGCGGTTTTTGAGGATGGGAAAGGGGCGTCGCGCGTACACGAACCCTGGGCGGCCAGGACAGCAGCGGGGGGGGGGGTGCTGTTTGTCCCTCTCTTGCAATGCACCCAGCAGGTAGGCGTGTGCGTCATGCCGGCTTGGCGCGCCCGGCCACAAGCCTCCTCAAGGCTGCTGACGCCCCACCCTTGGTGGATTTGGTCCCTATCCCAATCCATTGTTATATCCCTCCCAGGCACGGCCAAGGACCACTGCGGCCACTTCGACGTGATCTGCGGCCGCAACGCGAGGTCCGAGGTTTGGCCCTACGTGACCTCGTTCCTCGAGGAGCACGACAACCCCATAATCGTCGGCGTCGCGGACGTCGTGCCGTCCGAGGGGGACATGGAGGCGCTGGGGCGCGCGGCAGCCGCGGGGGCGCGCCCAGCGCAGTGTGTCGGCAGCTGCGGCGCGCGTGCGTGAGGCGGGGCCGCGGGGAAGGGCTTCCATTCATTTCGCACCTGGTGGTGTTCAGGGGTGCGCCGCGGTGCCCGGCCTGGGCGCAGCAGTCGTGGGCGCCGGTCCACTCCCGGCGCCCGGGACGCGCATGTATTGTGTTGTTGTTACCGCGCCAGCCGAGCTCAGCGGCCGCCTCGGTGTTTGCAGCAAGCTGCCAAACATGTCCTGGGGCGGCCTCGGCCGTGGCTGGGCGTTTCAAGTGTGTGACGTTGAACATTAAATGCCTCGGGTATTGGCCAGCTGCACGCGTTTGCAGCTGCCCTGCCCTCGGAACGCCTCGCTCAAGCCCAATACATAAACAGCGGCAGCCGCCCCGCTGCAGCAGACAGCAGCCGCCCTATTGCGGCAGGCGCCTACATTGACATCCGCGGCGGCCGCCCCGTTGAAACCAACACGGCGCACGCGAGCAGACGCAGCTGCGGAAATCGCGCGCCACGCCCGCGTGCGCGCCCGCATGAGCGACACGGGCCACGCGCCCTGTGCATGGTGCCTGCTGGTGCCGTTTCTCCAAACCCTATAATGCACACTTGTCAGCTTTGGGTGTTGTGCGCGCCACCCGACCGCTCCGACAGCCGGCGCGCCTGGCCCCCTGTATTGCCTCTGAGCCACCTGCTCACCAATCGTCGGCCCAACCCCATACGTCACCCCGGCACGTCACCCGACTGCCCATTTATGACGGCCGCCTTGAGTTAGAATAGTGATGGTATGCCCCTTCAATCCTGAATTCCACGGGAGACGCCCCACGGCCACCGCTGCTGCGCCTTCTTTGCGCGCGCGGGGCGGCACCTTTACGCGCACGCGTTCGCCTCGCGCAGCTGCCGCCGCGCCCTCGGCCTCCCACGTGTTTGCCATGCCCTGCCCCTGGATGTGAGGTGCTGCGGCTCGACTTTCGAGGAGCCTCGTGCGCCAAGTGGGCGCTGCAACACGCGCCGCCTCGCCCGCCACAAGGTAACCTTGACAACAGCACGCACCAACGCCGAGCAGGCGGCCAACAGCAGGTCGGGCTGCAGCGACCGGGCTCAGTGGCTCAGATACCAGAGTGACGCTGCCCGGCCCCTAATCAGAAGATCAACTGCCAGCCGCCGCCTGGATATGCAAGAGGAACCCCCAGCGGCTGCGGGCAGTTGTGGTAAGCGTGGTGGCGCCCGCCGCCAACGCGCCGCTGCGTAGGCCCTGCTGTTCGAGCGTCATATGAACACATTTCCCTGAACACATATGCCTGACTGCAGCAAATGTGGGCCGCCTCCACTACAAAAGCCGGCGGCGGAGGCAAGCAGGCAGGCGAATCTCTATGCTGCGAATCTCTATGCTGCGGCGGGCCGGAGACCAAGCCGGCACACGCGGCGGCGCGCGGGGCAATGGACGGCCGAGCCGGCAGCAACCGTCAGCGATGGCGGCGCCGGCCGCCCGCACGGCCTGGAGGACGAACGCCTGGGAGGCGTTGCGATGCGCCACGAAATCTTCTGCACGCCACACCGTGCAGGCTATGGGTGCAGTGGCTTGTGCCACCTCGCTGTGGTTGCGGGGTACTGCCACGGATGCTTAGTACTGCTTCCGCGGAAGGGGCGAGGAAGCCCGCCCGAACTGTTGACTTTGCGCAACGATTACTGGGTGGCACCGCCGCGCGTGCGTGCGGCTGTACGGCGACGCTGCATTGCAGGGCGCCGCGCTGCCACCCGGCCAGTGCACATTGGGCAGCTGGGCGGCTGCCGAGATCCCTCGCATCGGATGACAACCGCTAAGGTCTCGCCCTGCTGAACTCTGAGTCGACGTCCTGATGCACACACGTGACCCTATCATAATCAATCATACGTGCTCGCATGATATCCTGCGTAGCTCGAAACACCACGTGCTCTGCTTGGGGGGCCTGTGTAGGCCAAAGTTCTCACACCTCCGTGAACTTTTGGTGCCGAAACCAGCTCAAAAGTTGACTCGGGATTCTTTGTGAGTTTAATTGGAAACTTTTGCTTTGATGTGCCGAGCATCCAAACGTTGGGCCAATGAGGCAAACGTTGCAATCGAGATCTAAAGGATGCCGGTTCACCGAGTGTTATCTATGTATGGGCTTCCAGTATTAGTTTCTCACAGCAGCTAGCCGACGGCCTCCGCGAGTCCCAGCCGTAGATTTCACCACTGGCCTGGCATTGCACCATTGGCCAGCCCGCGTGGTCTCGGCGCTTGCCCGCATACGGAGGACGGCTGACGGCTGAATACACTTGTTCTCGCAGGTATGTACGCTGCAGGTCGGGTGGCAAGTAGTCTGCACCCCGTGCAGCGCAGTGACCGTGCGATGGTCAGTCGGCGCCTCGGACACCTTTCAGCACACAGAAAACTTTCGGCCGCATCAGGATTTACTGCCTATCACTTTGTGTGGCCGCATCTCCACTCACCCCCGGCAGGCGGCGCGAGGAGGGCCCAAGACGCACGGTGCCCCATTCGACTTCCCCCCCTTGGGTGGCCGTTGGCAAGCCGGTCCGCTCAACCGCCGCCGCCGCCAATGGCGCCGCAGCCGCCCAGCCCCGCGCCGGCCAGCGAACAGGAACCCTATTCTAGCGGCGGCGAGGACGAGGGCGGCCCCGCCTGCTGGATCTGCCTCGGCGGCGCCTCCGAGGCGCCCCTAGGTACCCCCTGCGCCTGCCCGCGCCCGGTCCACGCCCAGTGCCTCGCGCGCTGGCAGCTGCAGCAGGCCGGGCGCCCCGAGGAGCGGCGGTGCCGCTTCTGCGGGGACGCGTATGGAGACTGGCGGGAGGCGCTGTCGGCGGGGCCGGGCCTGCTGCCCGCTACGCCCGTCATGGCTGTGAATGTTAGGGGCCGCGTGCACAAGCTGAGGGTCCACTCTGGCCCAGAGGGCAAGGAGCTGTTTCGCCGGCAGGTGAGCAGGCGCAGGGGCGTTTCATTTGGGGGGCAGCTGTGGGCCGCGCAGCGGCTGCTGAGAGGGGGGCAGGGCAACGGGCTGGGGACGTGCGCGAGTCGCGCTGGGGGCAGCAGCTGCGCAAGACTAAGGCCGGCGTGCGAGCGTCTTGTCTGCCACCCCCGCGCCGGCCGGGCGGGTCCTGCTGGCGCGTCCGGCCCCAACCACCTCTTATCTGAGGGCGAACCACCCAATCCTCCGATGACTAAAACCATGACTCAAGGTCCGTGAACTTCTGGGATACGACTCGTCGGCAGAGTTCGACGTCGTTTTCGAGTGCAAGGTGCCGCAATCGGGTGAGAAATCACGCCGCCGCGGCTGACGCGGACGCGCGTGGACGTGGCCCGCGGCCCCTGGACGCAGCCCCATTGCACTGTCTGCACGGCTGCCCCAAGCGCAGCTCTGCACAGCAGCTGGCAATTACGCGGGGTGCGCCTGCGCACCAGGGCTGCGCGGCCGATGGCAGGCCGAGACACCCGCCCCCTCGACAGCCGGCCGTGGCCCAAATGGTGCCCCCGTTCCTGCCTTCCCTCCACGCCCCCAGGCGAAAAGGTGCAGCTCACCGGCTTTGCCGCCTTTGAGGCCGCCGCGCACTGCGCGTCGGTGTCGGCCGCGCGGCGCCTCGAGCGCAAGCGCCAGCATTTGGCGGCCCTAGAGCGCCAGCGCCAACAGCAGGCAGCGCAGCCACCCGCCGCGGCGCCGCTCGCCGCCGCTGCCGCCGAGGAGCAGGCGCCGGGGAATGCGGCGGCCGCCGCGGCCACGCCAGCAGGGGGGCCGCTGCGGCGGCTGCTGACCTCGCTACGCGGCGGCGGGCGCGGCGGCCACGGCGGCGCGCGGGGGCCCGGGAAGCTGCCGCCCGGGGCGTCCCGCAGCAGCTCAGACGCTTCGATGGACAGCGCCGTGTACGGCCTCCCCCCGATCACGTCACCCGCCGCACCGGGCTCGCCTCCGCC